CTTCATTGGCTATAATACTGCCCCTGAGCAAAACTTCTATACACCAATAATGGACCAGCCAAGAAAAAAAATCAAGAAAACAATTACATTCACAATAGCTTCAAAAAATGAAAGACCTAGGGATCAATATAATCGAGTAGGTAAAAGACCACTCTACAATGAAAGTTTCAGAACACTAAAGAAATAAAGAAGACAATAGGAGATGGAGCGCCAGGGATGTGGCTCAGTGGTGCTGCGCCTGCCTCGCAAGCACGAGGTCCTGAGTTCGATCCCCAGTACCAAAAAAAAAAAAAAAAAAGATAGGAAAGACCTCCTATGTTCATGCATTAGAAGAATTAATACTGTTAAAATGGCCACATTACCAAAAATGATCACAGATTCAATCCAATCCCAATCAGAATACCAATGACATTCTTCACAGGCCAGAAAAAATAAATCCTAGAATTCACATAGAAACAATAAAGACCCAGAATAGTCAAAGCAATCCTTAGTATAAAGAATGGATGGCCAGCACAATACTTCAAATGAGAGCTGGGCCCAGTGGTACACACCTGTAATCCCAGCACTTGGGAGGCTGAGGCAGGAGGATCACTGTGAGTTCAAGGCCAGCCTGGGCTACATATTGAGACCCTTTCTCAAACAAAAAACCCCCAGTAAAACAAGTTATAGTACAAAGCCATCATAATAAAAACAGCATGGTGCTGGCACAAAAATAGACCCATAGACCAGTGGAGCAGAGTAGCTATTAGAGAACCACAGCCTTGAAACTAGCCATCTGACTCTGCTCAAGGGTGCCGAAAATGTATGCTGGAGAAAAGACTGCATCCTTAACAAATGCTGCTGGGAAACTGGATAGCCACTGGTGGAAGGCTAACAGATCCTATCTCCTACCCTGTAAAAAATCAATTAAAAATGGATAAAAGACTTAGACATAAGACCTGAAACTTTGAAACTGCTAAAAGAAAAGACAGGGGAAACACTTGAAGCCACAGACACAGGCAAAGACTTCCTGAATAAGACTGCAACAGCACGGGAAATATCAAGAATCAACAAATGGGACTACATGGAATTAAAAACTTTCTGTACAGCAAGGCAAACAACTAATAGAGTGAAGAGGCAGTCTACAGAATGGGAGAAAATCTTTGCCGGCTATTCTTCTGACAAAGGATTAATACCTAGAATATATGAAGAACTCAAATGCTTAACACCAAAAAACCAAATACTCCAATAAATAAATGGGCACATGGACTGAATAGAACCATCTCAAAAGAAGTACAAATGGCCAAAAAGTCTATGAAAAAATATGCAACATCTTTAGACATTAGGGAAATGCAAATCAAACTACTTGAGAGTCCCTCCCACCCCCATCAGTATGGCTATCATCAAGAATATAAAAAGGCATTAAATCCTGATAGGAATGTAAACTAGTATATAGCCACTGTGGAAATCCGAATAGATGTTCCTCAAAAAACTAAACAGAGCTACCATTTGATTCAACTATACCACTCCTCGGTATGCATTAGAGAGAATTAAAGTCAATGTACCATAGGGACACCTCCATGTCCACGTTTATTGTAGCACAATTTGTAATAAATACCCAAGACAGGGAACCATCCTGGGTGCCCATGAACAGATGAATGGATAAAGAAAATGTGTATATATACAATGGTATATTATTTCACCATAAAGAAGAATGAAACTTCGACATTTTAAAGGAAATGGATGGATCCGCAGACCATCATGTTGAGCGAAATAAGCCAGACTCAGAAAGACAAATGTTGCACATTCTCCCTGTCGTGGATTCTAAGGATGACATGAAAGCATAAGACAAACTATTAATAGATAAGAGGAAGGGAGCAAGGTGGAAGGAAAGAGGTGTGGAGCAAGGAATAGGGAAACTCATTGAAACCCAATATTTTGTAAAATTAATAGACACTAATAATAAAATGAAAAATGCTAACAATCATATTAAACACAAAAGACAAGAAGAATGGAATCATCATATGCACAAACATGGATGGAATTGGAGATCATCGTGTTAAGCAAAATCAGCCCAGCTCAGAAAGACACGTGTGGCATGTTTTCCATTGCATGTTTTCTCTAAGGGGGGCATGAAGGCAGAGGGGTGCCCAGTAGAGAGGGGGAGGAACCAAGAAGGAAGGGGAGGCACAGACAGGTGTTACAGGGGCAGAAATGATCAAAGTCTGTTACTTGCATGTCCAAATCTGCCAAAATAAAATCCATTCATCTGTGTAACTAATATTCACCAATGCAAATTTTTTTTAATTAAATTCTTTTATTGGTACATTTTAGGTAAACAACACAATTACATTTCTCATTGGGATTGTACCTTTACATAATGCATCTTGGTTCTTATTTTTTCCCCATTCCTAGCCCTCCCTTCACCCCCTCCACCCTTCCCTATTTACAAAGACTTTATTTCCATTTTTTCCATTTCTCAGCATTTTTCCTTTCCCTTCTTTCCTTTCCCCTGCCCCTCCCACTACCCCTACCCCTTTGAGATTAAAAGTAGACCTGTATCTCTCACCATGCACTAAACTGAAATCAAAATGGATTAAAGATCTAAATATTAAAATAGAAACTCTGAATCAGTTGGAACAGAGGTTAGGTAGAACCCTTGAAGACATCAGTGTAGGAAAAGATTTTATGAACAAAACCTCAGTTGCCCGTGAACTAGCACAAACAATCAACAAGTGGGATCTCTTCTTATTAAAAGGCTTCTGCACAGCAAGAGAAACCACCAGCAGTGTGAAGAGACAACCCACAATGTGGGGAAAAAATCTTCACTTGCTCTTCCTAAGACAAAGGTCTACTATCTCAAATCTATAAAGAACTTAAAAAGCTCAGACCTCCCAAATTTAAAGACCCAATCCGAAAATGGGCATCTGAAATGAACAGACATTTCTCAGACAAAGAAGTAGAAATAGCAAATAAATACATGAAAAAATGTTCAACAGCACTGGTCATTCGAGAGATGCAAATGAAAACAATGCTGAGATTCCACCTCACTCCAGAAAGAATGGCTGCTATCATGAAATCAACCAATAAGAAATGCTGGCGGGGCTGTGGGGAAAGAGGAACCCTGCTCCACTACTGGTGGGAGTGTAGACTGGTGCAACCACTGTGGAAACGAGTATGGAGATACCTCAAAGAACTAGGACTGGAAGTCCCATTTGACCCCGCTATTCCACTGCTGGGGATCTTCCCCAAAGAATTAAAAGAATCATACCACAGTGATATATGTGCACCCATGTTCATAGCAGCACAGTTTGTGATAGCTAAAACTTGGAAACAGCCCAAATGCCCATCAACTGGAGAATGGATAAAGAAAATTGGGTTTTTAAAAAATAAAATGGAGTACTACTCAGCCATCAAAAATGAGAAATTAGAGACATTTATAGCTAAGTGGATGCACATTGAGGCGATACTCTTAAGTTAAATAAATAGGACACACATGTATAAATACCAAATAGTTTCTCTGGTGTGAGAAACTGAAAGTGTTAATAAGGACTAAATGTATAATAGGGAATGTGAAATAGGAAGAAAAGGGGCAAAGGCGAAGGAAGTGGGAGGGCTAGGGGAAAGGATAGAAGGGAATGGGATTAATATGAGAAAAGGGAAAAATAGGAACAAAATCTTTGTAAATAGGGAGGACTGGAGGGGTTGAAGGGAGGGCTGGGCAAGGGTGAAAAATAAGAACCAAGAGAGACTATGTAAAGGTGCAAATTTCCAATGATGAATGTCATTATATTGTATACCTAAAATGTACCAATGATTAGAATGAATAATCGATAACTCAAAATAGGAAGAAAAGGTGCAAATTCTTATTTGAAAAGAAAATTCCTTAAATGGGAGTTTGGTCGTCCAACTGGCACCGCTCAGCAGATCTGAAACCATTACAAGTAATGAGTGCGATGCGCCCTCCGGAAGGAAGGAAGCCACACTCTTCTCCCCTGCCAGGTACCCCATGCCCTCCTCACCCTGCTCCATCGTGATACATCTTTCTGCTCTGTTTGCAGCCAAAAGATAATTGCCAAGAATGAAGAGAGTTATGAGAGAACATCTGAGAAGTCCACCTCTGTTACTGTTCGTGTGACTCAGGCGTGTTAGAAGACGGTAGTGACAAAAGAGGAGAATCTTTAAAAAAGCTTTGTTCTCCACAGCCAAGGAAGTGGGAGCCAGCCCTGCAGGCCGGCCCAGGGAATGCCCGGGGGGCTTTCTTGAGAAAAGCTCTTGATGAGTTGAGTTCTCCGTGGCTCAATATTTGTCACAGTTAGCTTTCTTCCGAGAGGCTGGCAGTGTTTGAACTCTCATCTCGATTGCATGTCTTCTGTCACTCTTTGGAAAGTGATGCTCTCTCTCTCTGCCTGGAAGCTTTCTCTGGGCTGGGTACTATTTTCTCTTCCACTTTTGCCTATTTGACTAGAAAGAGACTATAGTAATTTGAGAACCTTCTTCCTCCTGAACACTGACTTTATTGCAGGTTATAATTTGTCCTCCTGGAGTATTTTGCTAACAAGACAGACAGTGGATTGATATAATCCCAGAACTTTTCCCTGGAAACTGTGCCCACACCCTACCTCCCTCGTGTCCTTGTGCCTGTGATTCAGGAGGAGGAATCTGATGATCCTAGCTATGTTTCCTGAGCCATCATGAGAATCCCAGTGCCCACACAGTGGGGCAGACGTAAGGAAGGAAGACAATCGCAGAACACAGGGATGGGTGGCCACCAACAGCAGCCTGACCAGTCAGACGTTGCCATTCTGCTGCATAAGGTCACTGTTGTCAAGCCGTCTGATTTGTCAGAAGAAAACATTCTGGTTTTAATGTAATATCTTTAAATTTTGTGAGTGTTCACACAGATGTTAAAAACACAACAGTAGAAGCCAGTGTTGGGTGGCTCAAGTAGAACAGGTCAGGGGCCCAAGTGTTTTCCACTTGTAAAATGCATTGGAAAGAAGAAAACAGACAAAAGAATCTATGAGAAACAGGATTTTAGGTGGGATTTTATTCTGTTTTTCTAAAAAGCTTTTGGCACCCGCAGATAGCTGCGCAAAGCTTAGCGAGAGGACGAACGTGCACCGAGGGCAGCAGGCAGAGGGCGCGGGGCTGAGGACGGTGCCGCCTGTGGAACAGCTTGGTTTTGAAAGCTTTTATGTGAAGAATCAGTGCCTTCAAACCTAACACTCTCAAATGTCCTAACAGCAGTGCGGGGTTCCACTTGGCACACAGGAAGCTCTGGTTCAGCTCCAGCGAAGTAGGAAAAAAAGTAGTGTAGAGGATGGCTTGGAAGGAGCAGCATGCTGATGTTCTGCAGGAGTTAGCTACTGATGTGCACTTCTTCGCCATATCACAGCACGCAACTCCGTTCTCCTTTGCCACCATCCAAAATAAGTGCACACAGCACTCTTTAGAGAAACCCAGCGTTCCACACTGGCCCTCAGCATCAGTCAATGGGGAAGAACAGCTTTTTCCTTAGGCTGAAGGTCGGCTGGGGCATCTGTTTCCCCATGTTCTTCGGGTTAATCTTTTTGCCCACTTCAAAGTTCACTTCTGTCAGGATGGTGAGGACATCATCACCTCTGCAAAACAGAGAGTAACGTGTGATCATCGCGGGGAAGAAAGCTGCCCGCTGTCATGGCCTTGGGGTTCCTCCTCTCAAGCACCACGCACTGGACGCCGCAGCTGCCTATCTGAGACCTACCTGCCTTTGCTTCATTCAGAACCTTTCCCGACCATCAGAAACCCCATCACCGTGCTAGATCCGATTCTTTCCCTCCCATCCTCTGGAACCTCACTCTGCCCCGTCTGCTATGTCACTTGGCCCCCCAAGCACCTCCTTACTCCCCAATACTCTGTGTCACACCAACACTGCTCTGTGCGTGCATCTGCAGTGCAATCCAACTTTAGGCAAGTGAAGGCCATGTACCATCTGCAGCCACCTCCACCCCGCAGCATCAGGCTGTCTTAACAACTTTGTCAAGCACTCTCGTCCTCTATACAGCTCACCCCAGAAGGGTGCGGGATCCATGCCCAAGTTACAAGATGAACATTCACACTGCCATTAGGGTTCACTCTTTACAAGTCGTGCGAAATTCCTCCTCTTCACACACTCAAAACATAAGGGGCAATCCAGCTAGAAGGAACCAGCTGGAAGGATTCCTGCCATTTATCTGTTGGCTGTGTGTGCCTGTTAATGCACTGTGACATTTAAATCCCAACTTAACTAAAGGAAGCCTGTGATTTGGAAATCAGAGAGGGACGTTTCCCACATTCCGAGCCTTCCAAGCTGTCTGCTTAGGGTAAGCATCAGGGGTTGCTACTCCTTGCTCCCCAGGCCTCACAGTGCACCAAGGTGATCTGAAATTGGCAGCCCGGCACAGGGCGGCTGGCAGAGGGGAGGTGTGAGGCACTAACATGGGCTCCTGCCTTCCCGGAGATCCTACGCCTCTGCCTGAGGCCCCAAGCGGGGCTCCAGCAGGCGTATCCTCCCCTCCCCGGCTGTGCTGGCCGCTGTCCTTGGAGGTGCTGAATAAAGGAAGGGCCCTCAGTAAGTGTGTCTGCTTTCCATCCAAGGCCTAAACCCACGAACACGTCCACATCCCCCACTTCACACCCAACCTGGGGAGCGACACAGCCAGACGCTGAGACAAGTGGAAACCACTGCCCTCGGGCTGTCTCTGATCGGGTGAGTGGCCTCGGCCAGGAGACAATTCCCAGCGGGCTCAGAACATGATGCCTGGCAGAGGTGACAGGGAAGGGAGGAGAGAGTCTGCACTGAGAGGGCGGGAGGCAGAACTCACTGCGGACATCTTCTTCGCAGGCTTTTGCACAGCGTCTGGATGTACCAGGTCCCCTTCGTAGGGTCTCGGTAGGAAACACAGCTGTCCACAGTGGCCATTCCCAGCAGAAAGTCAGCCTCATCCGGGATGGCCTTACACGGAAACGCCAAGTCCTCGTGTAGATAGGCTTCGTTCTCGTCTGAGTCACTCTCCACACATACAGCTTTCTGGCACTTCTCCCCTTGACAAGCCTGAATAAAAAACACTTTGGGTTTCCCCGCAAGGGAAGGGCATTTGGAACCAGTGAAGTAAGAGGTTAACTCAGAGATGGGCACCTCCTGGCCATCCGTGCCATAGACGATGCCGCTGTTTCCGTGGGAGAGGACACAGCAGATGAAGCAGTCTCTGTCCCCGTGGTCCACGCCTTGGTAGTGCTGCAGCATGTCACAGATCGTCTGTGCTGTGAAGTTCCGGCAAGGAACCGTCTCAAAGTGAAGCTCAGTGAAGGTCCCCTCCAAAGTCTCTGAAAAGCGAAAGAAATAAGAAAGGTCCTATTGCACCACCGTAATTCCCACACCACCGTGGACAGCTGGAGAGAACAGGATGGACAGTGGCAGATGAGAACGCAGACCAGAGCTTGAAGAAGGAGACGTTCTAAGTCAGGAGCTGGATTGTGGACACACCTGCTGTTTATTGTTACCAGCTGAAAACATTCTCCAGCCCTGATTCAAATGGGAAAGGGGAGGGCCGGGGGTTTAGTTCAGTGGTTCCACCGCCTGCCTTGCAAACGCAAGGTGGTCCCGAGTTCAAGCCCCAGTACCAAAAACCAAAACAAAACAGCAAAAAAAACAAATGGGAAAGGAGAGCATGTTATTGTTGCCCTGGGCCTTGTCTGGACTTCTCACAAGATGCATGAGCTATTATTTAGGGTTAATACCCAGCCAATTCAAAAGTTGGCTGTATTTCTTATATAATCAGAAAAAACCAAGTAATTTTTGAATACAATTCTATGTTTATGATGAAACCTTTCAAATTAGCTGTATTTATCAAAATAAAAGATACCAATAAAAATTAAAACTAAAAGACCTATTAGAAAACCTCTTCTCTCTGTGTGCCTCTATTACCCAGTCATGTCCCATAACAGAAACCGCTTGCAGCTTAACTGCTCTTTTTCTTGGTTCCATTTTGTAGCAAAGCTGGGTACACTGCTACTTACTCATTTACAAATTTGAGACTTTTGGCTTGAGTTTTTATGGAGGCTGAGCACTTACTCCTTCCACACTATTATTTATAATTTTGAGTTGAATCCAGGATAAAACTTATGTTACTGGAACTATGTAAATATAGTATTCTTTATATTTCCTTTCTTGTTAAGCTTTGTGTCTTTCTTGGAATTTGCAATTATATGTGTTCAAAGTTTGCTTCACATTGTTTTCTCTTCAAATGTTCAAATAGATCTGGTCAAAGTCTTCCAACCCCTTTGGGCTGCTTGTCCTGCTCATTTTTGCTCTTCCTGGAGAACCTCCCATGAGAGAACCACTCCTGTGCACACACCCACCCTGACAGATTCCCCCTCCCGGGACACCTCTCATCCTTTCCTAGCAGGGCCCCTGTTTCCCAAAGGACGACTTCCTTCTTTCCTGGGTCACTGGCTTGTTTTGCTAGACCCCACCCAGTTGTGCAGGGGGAGTAAACCTTTGAGCCCATGCTTGAGTTTTTACTTCTACTTTCTTTTTCATTTGGTAGCGGGGATTGAACTCCGGAACCTTGTGCTTGTGAGGCAGATGGTGGTGCCACTGAGCTACATCCCTGGCCCCTTTACTTCTACTTTCGTACTTGGAATGCTATTTCCAAAAGTACTTCTTCCTCGGAAATTTGAAGGTGGCCAGGCACGGTGGTGCACACCTGTAATCCCAGCTTGGGGGAGGCTGAGGCAGGAAGATCGCCAAGAGTTAGAGGCCAGCCTGGGCTCCATAGTAAGTTCAATACTGGTCTGATTTACATAGTGAGATGCTATCTCAAAAAACAAAACAAAACAAAATAAATAAAAGAAATTTGGAGGTATTACCGAGTCTTTTAGATTCCAGTGTTGTTACTGAGGCCAGTGACTTTTTGATTCCTGATACTTGATATATTTGACATATTTTAAATATTCAAGTATCCTTTCTTGTTCTATCTTGTTTTCATAACATCCTGTTCTTTTATGAGTCTTTTACTATCTTTCTAAAAATACTAAATACAGTTTCCTTCCCCTCGACATTGCTCTGTTTTGTGCATATCCCACTTCATTCTCTCCGTGCTGTATTGCTGCTTCTCTGGGAGACAAGCTCTTCCTGTGCCTATGACCCTGCTGTCCATCCACAGTGTGACTAATGCACCTCCTGAAGAGTTGACTGAAAACCCTGTGTGACTTGTCCACCGGTAGACTCATGGTGGAATGGTTAGTAGGGACCTGGCCCTTTTATGAAGAGGCCCTCAGATGTCATTATCTGTAGAAGGAAAATTCATCTCTGCTGCTCTGTTCTTGGACAAAAGTTGGGTTAGGTATCTGACTCCATGCCACCAGAGCTTGGGTCTTCTTTAACTGCCGTCGTTGGCAAGATGCTTGCGTTGCCTGGCCAGGCGTCCTCAGGCCCAGCCGTCTGCTCAGTATGAGGAGAGAATATGCTTCCTGCACCTCTTCATGTTGGAAGAGGAAGAGCTGCTGGCTCTGTGGGGTGAGTCAGGAGGCCACTGTGTGTTACACAGACTTTCAGAGAATCTTCCTGTTTTCCGCTCATTGCCTCAACAATAATTTGGACTGCCAATTACTGAAATTTTCCAGGGTGCTGTAGGGTAAACAGGTTTGTCTCTTTTCTGGGTTTCTTTCTGTAATCACTTAGGTTGCAGCTCTGTTGTATTGCATCTATTACCTCTCCTCCTTTATTTCATATTCCAAAATGTGTTTGAAACCTTACATTAGCTGCCGTCTCCATTCCTGCTCTCTCAGCCCTTGTTAGAGTATCCATGCTAATTCCTCTCTAGCATTTTGTGTCCCTGTTAGTACATCAGACCAAAATATAAATCATCGGCCAAGAGCCAGTCTAGCACTAGGAGTGGAGAAAGAGAGCTTTGAAAGGCAATGGACCCGCATGGGTTTAGAAGAACTCTGGGGAAACTAACAGTGCCTGGTTCTGGGGGACATTCTGACTCTTGGAATTGGACGTGATGAAGAAAACGACCGCAGAGCAGAGGGAACTGCTCAGGAGACAAGGCCCACGAGGCAGGGCCTCCGACTTCCTCTGCATGTGGAGCAGACAGCGGGATGTGCAGACTCGAACCCCGACTGACAGACTCTCCTCGTGGGCTGGATATGAGAAGAATGGACTCTAGAAATCAAGTCAACTTTACAGGAATTTCAAAATATTAACTGAAGGCATAAAAGCCCTGCCAAGTGCATGGTAACAACTGCTGTAGTCAGTGCCCTCAATTCTGGGGCTAGAGCCTTAGACTGGCTTTGCTCAAATGAGTACATCAAATGGTACAGGGACCACTGCAATGTCCTGATGGTTATAATCCGTTTACATTGATTTTCTAGCATCATTCAGTTCTTTAAATACCATTTGAAAAAGTTCTTTTATCTAACCAAAACTGTTAGCACCTCGAAGGCTGGGTTGGGTGACTTCTGTTATTACTTTAGTTCCTGTCACTTTTACATTCCCACACCACAGTTACTTTCTCATCTGCTCTGTAATTCCTGGTCTTATTTTAGATAGGCTGAATGGAAGATCTTGATTGGTTAACACTTGAAAATGCCACTTTTGTTAAGAGGCCACAATCTGCGTGACATGCAAGCACAACTTCACACACACAACCTGCAATGCCTGTGCGCATGACACCAGCACCCGATACCAAGGCACTTCCTCCTCATGGCCCTGCTGGTCGCTGTGCATTGGCAGAGTTAAGATTAAAGTTCACTGCCACTCTTCCTGTAAGCCTTTTAGTACAATTTGATATTCTATCACTACATTGTTTTGATTTTAAAATTAATTTGAAACAAAAACAGAACACTAACAAATATGTAAGAAGGTTCTGCACCTCCACAAGGAAATACATTCAAATCCATTTTCTTGAAACATGCACCCTTTTGATACAGCTTTTTTCTCCTCCTTTTGATAAAACAGATATAAGAAATATTTCACTTCTCTGGGATCTACTATACCTGCGTCGAAATCTGTTCCTTTCCTGTCCTTCATTTTGCCAAGCTGGGGGATATTCTTCCGTGCCTCACTAAAATCATAATTATTGAAGATCAAACAGTACCCCCGAGGCTTGTTTTTCATTTGGTAAACTTGGTCCAAGGTCTGGAAAATAAAAACCACATCAGGAGCTAACTCTGCCGGTGCAGCACTATGGGTGTGGACAGAACTCTCCCCGGAAGGGGCTGGCATTGCTGCAGAGATGCTGCCCACGCTGTGTCATCGTCACACTGCAGGCCATTGTCCCCAGTCTGCTTCCCTCACTCACAAAGGGTCTTCGAGCCAGATGAGGGCTCAGCCAGAAACGACCCCACAATACAGCCCGGTCCCAGGCCAGGTAAAGTTCCTGACTTCGTGCCATTCCCTGGCCCACGGTGGGTCACAGGATGCAGACTGCAGGACTGACAGCACATGTGTCCTGCTGGTTTTCCAGGCGCTGCCTCATTGCCGGACCCAGCATTTGGCTGGAAGCTTGTGTAGCCCCGTGAAACGGAGAAACGGACTCCAGGACAGGAAGCCAGGTCCTGCTTCTGTGCCCTCCTCACCTGAAGACTGGGCAGATTACCGAAGCCTTCGCGTCTCGCTATGCCTACTAAGGCATCAAGCGCTTCAGTAAGAACTGGGAATATACCCGCTCCTAACTGCGCCTTGGAGTTATTTACCAGGACCCTGCAGTACTGAGGTTGGCTGAGAGGTCAAGACCGGTCTTTAGCCAATGGTGGGACAGCGCTGATACAACAGCGCTATTGCCTCAGGTGCTGTGTCACTCTGGTTCACCGGGATTTGAGAGGAAGGGAGGCCTGGCGATTTTCTCAGGTGTCTAAATCAGCAAATGGCATCTCAAGCCTAATTCAGATGCCCCGGCCCTTCACTCCCTGCCACCACAAGGAGGGGATTGACTGATGACCAGACTGTCCCTGCTGAGTTCCGGAGGGTGCGTCTGGAAAGGAAGTGTTTCCACTGACTCATGAGACAAGAGCAGCAACGACTAGATTACGTTTATTGCTTACAGCCCATCTCAAAGGAGAAGGAATTTTAAACATCAAGCTAAGAGGGCAAAAGGCCCTGCCTGTCCATGCCACTGGACTCTCCCTGGGGTCCTCACCACTGTGGGTGACACAGGAGGCTCCCCTGCTGTTGTCTCTGGCTTCACAATAAAAACGTAACACACAGAAGCCCAGAGAGTCACATTTTAAAAATGAAGTCATCTTTTTAGCTTGCCCTTTTGTAGGTTTTTTTTCTACAGTTTTTTTCTACAGTTCTCAAATTTCTGCTGTTTATTGGCTTTTCTGGAAGCTAAAAAAAGAAAAGAAAAGAAAAATCTAACAAATACAAGAAGCAGAATCTACACTGCACAAGGAGGGAGGACTTGGAGGCATTTCTGTACCTGTGACTTCTCCTGTCCTCCCAGGAAGTCCAGCATGCCTGGCGTCGGGAAGGACTCCTCCTCTGCAAGCAAGAAGTCAGCTATAGTGAGGCACAGCAGCAGCGACACTGGGGAGGCGGCATGACTCGGGCTTCCGGAGACCCAGGGCCAGTCTCAGCACCAGGGCCAGGAAAGGTCCTGACTTTGTATTCGTCCACGTTGCCAAGTCAAGTTTTGCGGCATTTGTGAGGTACTCATAGTGGACCCTAGTGCAGGGTGAATTACTGATTCAAAAGCGCCAAAATGCCCTTTCATCCTTGAAAGGACTCGGTCCGCAACGTGTCGCACACAGCCAGGTGAAGCTAACACATTAACAATGTAATATTTCCTGGGTGATGACATTGGTGGGATTTTAAATTTCTCTCTGACTTTGTAATCATTCTCATGAGTATGTATAATTTTATAACCAGAAAGAAGTGATTAATCAAAGTTTTCCAGGAGGTCTTCAGAGCTCCTTCCACAGGGACCCCAGGGGGACAGGGACAGGGACAGGGACTGGCCCAATTCCACTCTGGGATAAGAAGAATACTTTGGCTGCAGTATACGAAGGCTGAGGCAGGCAGGTCCTGGGGCTGGGCGGGGACAGAGGGACTTCTCGAACTCAGCAAGGGGCCTCTGACCAGGAGAAGGGAGAACTTTGTTTTTGAAAGAGAAAGCGACTTAATCATGGAAGTTCTGAAAAATGATTCGAATGTGGCAGCACACCTCAAAGGGAGGGGAAGAAACCACAAGAGAAAAGACTTATTACCGACCAGCTCTGCACTTATTTCTAATGTGCCTGTCCAGGGCCGCAGGGCTGAAACTCGGCAACTTTTTCGTCCTTCTAGAGAAGGGCAACTACAAGTCCCCAGTGACTCTCATCCTGCTACTGGGCTGCTACTGAAGGTTGCAGGAAGGACGCGGAGGGTGTCAGAGCAGGGTGTATCTTGAGAATCCAAGCATTACCATTTGAAGATGCATCTGGACTTTGTCCGAGCCTCATTCTTTCTTCTGAATTAAAAAGAGAAAAATCCAACCCGTGAGGAGAACAGCGTGGCCCTGCCAGCTGAATTCCATGCTGCCGGGGCCTGGCCGCGCAACCCCACCTCCATGCAGTGCCTCGTAGTCGCTGATCTTCAGCAGCAGGCTCCTGTTGACTTGCTCACAGATGCTTTTCAGGGTGTCCAACTTCTCCTTCCCAAGGATGACCCTCTTCTCCATCTCTATGAAGATGTCCAGCAGGCTCTGGGGAGGAGACACAGTGGGAAGCCCGGGTTGGGCCACATTTGCTTTTAGGGGAGATGTTTTCACTTCCTTTCCCCACCCAAGGCCCCACTTTATTTCCCAAGAGACCCCAGCCTCAGTGGCTTCTTGGGGCAGAGGAAGTGGGGGAGGCAACTGGGTGCCTCCCGGCCCCAAAGAAGTGCTTGGATGGAGAAGCCACCTCAGGAGTCACCGTCGGTCCCCAAGCCCGCACTCAGGCTATCTTCGAACACCTCACACATGCACCGGCCTGCGTGCATGACGGAGTCATCATGGAAACTCCCCAGGACTGCCTTACACCCCAACACGGCCTCTGACACCCAGTCCACTTCCAGACCTGAATTCACTCACACACAGAAACACTGACACACAGGTGCAGATACCTATACCACACAGACTCTACCACACATACACACAAGACACACAGACAACACCTCACACAGACAGACACACAAACCACACACAAGCTGACCCAGAAACGCACACAGAGACACATACTGCATGGACACAGAGCTGCCTCCCAGGCCACCTCCCAGTGCCCAAGTCCCACACAGCTGAGCTGCTGTCACTTCCTGCCGAGCCTCATCCGCCCTCCCTTGGGCGAGGGCCTGGCCTGCAGCACTGCTGCCCCTGAAGATGTGAGCACCCAGGGGCTTTCTCCAGAACACCCCTCCCTTTGGTCTCAAGAGCCCCGAGCTGACCAGCCCTCAGGGCCCCATCATGAGTGATGAAGGGCCTCACCATGCTGTCATCCAGCTTACACTTGGGGATCTCCCTGTGCAGCAGAAACTTAAAATTCTTCAGCTCTTGGCTGGTTACATCTTCTGCAATCTGAAGCAGCATGACCCTGTGTGGAGAAGGAGGGGCTCTAGGACACTCGGGTCGGCTCCCGTCGGCTGCCTGAGCGCAGTGGTGCTAGTCCCGGCCTCCCTTCTCGGCAGAGCCAGTTAGAGGGGAGACTGAGGCAGGGGGCTCCTGGAAAGAGACCAGCAGAGAGGTGCTGAAGGCCACAGCCTCGTACCCAAGGGGCCCACCTTGAACAAGTTAAATTCCACCCAGTTTTTCAGTTAATTTCAGTGTAAAATCAAGATCTTACAGCAACAAAAAAGCTCTGGCTTTTGGAAATTGTGCTTTCCACAGTGCAGGCTGGATCATCACCTCCCTCAGCAAACTGGCCGGTGCTCTCCGAGGAAGGCGGGACACGCTCAGCCTCGGCACCAAGCCCCAATGCTCCTCACGTACCTGGCCTCGGCGGTCACTCAGCGTCCCCTGGGCCGCCGGGCCGCATCCCCACAGTGCCTTCTCTGTGTCTCTCTGCAAAGACAGCTCCCGGGCTGTAATCATCTGTGCATGAAGCTGTCCAGGTCTCCTGCTGGCCGGGACCGGGCCCTGCCTGCCCTCCTGAGCCCCGAGGGCTGAGGTGTGCAGGAGCACAGGGGACCAAGGCCACTGGTGCTGGGCTTTGTCCCAACACCTCTGAGATGTGTGGCCTTAGCCCTGTTATGCCTTTCCCCTCATCTGTTGATGGGAGGTAATTACATGGCTCCCTCACAGGAGGCAGGTGTCAAGCATTCCATGGAGAAGTTTCTATGAAGTAGTTACTTAATGGTGGCGATACATTCTGAGAATGTGTTGTGAGGCCATTTCTTCTTTTTGCAAACATAACATGTCCTTGCACAAACCAAGACTGCTCTCATGGTGGCACATGGAATTCCAGCACTTGGGAGGCTGAGACAGGATTGCCATGAGTTTGAGGCCAGTGTAGGCTACACAGTGAGTTCAAGGCCAGCATGAATTACAGTGCGAAACTCTGTCTGAAAAAAAAAAAGTCTGCTCTGGGCCAGGGATTTAGCTCAGTGGCACCATACCTACCTTGCAAGTGCAAGGTCCCAAGTTTGATCCCAGATACCAAAAAAAAAAAGTCTGCTCTGATGTCACCAGACAATATGTCTATGGGACCACACCCTAAACTGACTGACTCATGAAGAAGCACCCAACTGTACCTAATCTAATCCCAGGCAACACACTCAGTGTTTTATAAGTAATAGGTGTTATTACTTACTGCCCTATTCCTGGCATATTTAGGCTCTTGGAATATGCTTGCTGAGTGGATGAACAAAGTAATGGTTTATAAGTCAGCAAACATTTTAATACTATGGTATAAAGGAAGATAACTTTGATACAAAAACACACTGACTTTAAAATTAAATTTAAAAATTAAAATTCTGGACCAGGCGTGGTGGCACATGCCTGTAATCCCAGCACTCGGGAGGCTGAGGCAGGAGAATTCCCATGAGTTCAAGGCCAGCCTGGGGCTACATAGTGAGTTCAAGGCCAGCCTAAACAATAAAGCGAGACCCTGTATCAAAACAAATTCTGAAAATAAAAATAGATAGAAACAGAAGGTATTCAATATAATCATCTGCCACGTCTGTCTCCTCAAAAATGTCTATCCTAGAATATTTCTCTAAAACTTCCTCAGTTTGGCACAAGGTTAAATCCAACCAAATGCTATTATAACTCTTAACTTTATTAAGGTATTCTACTTTCTTCATTATGAAAGCCTACAGGCTTTCTTGTCCCATAATAAACCTGGGTAGTCTATAAAATATTTATTTTATAAGCAGCAATTATCATTTGAAAGTAAAATATCTAATGTTTTCTTATACTGGTAAGTGGACACCCTAGCATATTTTTTGTCACCTGGCTAACATTCAACAACAGTGATCAAGCAGTAGATGGTGACTGTGCTGATCCTTTTAAACATTTTTACTAGTCCATGCTTGCAGCACATAATGCCTGCGCCCCTTGGAGCTGGTGCACGCACATGACACTTCTTCATTCTTTTCATGTCCCCTTCCCTCTCTTCTCTCCCCCTCCCTCCATCTTTAGGTCCACTTCCCATTTGCAAAAGATTTATGTCTCTGTTTCCTATCATCTATCTTTTATTTTGCTCTTTAATTTATTTATACTTCGAGTTTCCCATATAAGAGAAACCATGCAGTATTTAAGTTTGTGTGCCTGATTTATTTCACTCAACATTATGATTTCAAGGTGCATCCATTTTCCTACGAATGACTCGAGTTTATCCTGTTTAGCAGAGCAGTGCTCCATTGTATGTAAGGACCACACTTTCTTTACTCATTCATCTGTTGAAGGGCATGTGTGCTGCTTCCAAGATTTAGCTTTTATGAGTTGGGCTGCTCATGGGTGTGCATGAATCACTGTAATGGGATGTCTTCAACTCTCAGGAAAATACATCTGAGGGGAACACCTGGGTCAAATGGGATGTCTAGTTTTTTGGGTTTGGGGGGGGGTACTGGGGATTGAACTCAGGACCTTGCACCTGCAAGGCAGGCGGTGGAACCACTGAGCTAAATCCCTGGCCCAGGATGTCTAGTTTAGCTTCTTGATCTCCATGCTGGTTTCCACAGTGATTGTCCTAGTTTTCAGTCCCACTGACAGTGTAGCAGGGGTCCTTTCCCCCCACAGCCTCACCTGTGCCTATCCTTTTGTCTCCAGGCCAAGTGGTGAGTTTAGCAAATAGGCCTGGTCCTGCTAGGGGACCCTGTCCCTGCCAGCATGGTAGTTTACCTCAGCCCAGCTCACACAGAAGGAGTGGAGTCTTTGTGATGAGAGTCCCCATCTCCAAGCTTTCCTACTTCTGGGGCTATTGTTTTTCAGGATGAAGTGGGGTCTTAATGAATAAGCACCTCTTAATGACTTCATACTTCTCGGAAGCCAAAGCCCAAAGCTCTCCAGAACCTGGTCGGCTGGTGTCCTCTCTCACAAGGAGTCAAGCCTACCCTGAACCTGTGGTTGTGATGTATTTGGGAAAAGTCTTTGCAGATAAAATTTCATCAAGCCACTCTTTTATTTTATTTTTTTTGGTACTGGGGATCAAACCACTGAGCCAAATCCCCAGCCCCTACATCAAGCCACTCTTGAATAGGGTGGGCCCCAGGCCAATGCCTGGCCTCACAGGAGAGGGTCATTCAGACAGACGTGGAAGGGAAGCCGAGGCTGGAGGACGGGTCCAGGAGCACCACAGCCTGCAGCCAGGAGTGAGCATGAGCGGACCCCTCCCAAGCTTCCCCAGAGTGCTGGTACCGCCTGTCTGAACTTAAACCCCAGAGCTCTGGGAGAATGAACTTCCTCTACTGCTTCAGGCCACTCAGTGTGTAGCAGCCCTAGGAAACCAACGCCCCAGGATACTCGTCATGTAAGTCCACACACAGCGAGGCCATGCCAGAGCCTCGGTTTCACTGGGACAGGAGCCTGTAAGTGGGGGTCAGAGGACAGCAGCTGTCCATCCTGTGGTGAGGCCCCTCGTGGCACTGCCACCGTGACCATGATGAGGCCAGGGCTGAGGCTGAGGAAAGCTCTTCTGAAACGTAAAAATAAAAATTTCTTTGAGCAGAGTCTGAAAATGGGATGTTAAAGAGAGAAGTAACTGGCTTGTCACAGACCATGAACTCGTCACTGCCGTGGCTTCTTATCACATCCCACCATGCCCACAGTGCCCACGCTGCCAGGGCGGGGAGAAGCTGAGTTCTGCAGCCCTTGGAGGGTGGCTAAGCACTGCTATCCTCTGGAGGCAGCCCGAGGCCTCCCTGGGGAGCTAAGCAGGCCCTGTGCATCCCCTCTGCAGAAACAGCAGCATCTGAGGCTCTAAGCGAGGACCAAGATTTCCAAGGCTTCTACAGTGGGTTGGGGCTCTGGGTAAGTAATGTTCCACTTTGAAAAATAAATTTTATCTTATGGGTCTAGCATTTTTCTCTGGATTATACATAAAGCCCTACATTTCCTCACCTGGCCCACAGACAGCCCTGCTGGGCCAGGCTGCAAGCTGTGTCCATCCGGCCTGCAGCTCTGGCCCCGAGGAGCCATTACTCACCTGTAGGTGGAGATCTGGGCCTTGCCAGGGGTCCCGAGCTGCTGCTCCATCTCCTCCCTGCTAGTGCTCAGACAGGCAGCCAGCAGGTCCAGCCTGCTGATCCGGAAAAGCAGCTCCTTGAGGAAGGACAGGTTGCCTTCCTCCAGCACCCTGTTCTCCTGGAGCCTCTGGAACAACATCCAGGCGTCTGTGATGGACTCCTGCTTCCGCTGTGGGATGTGCTCCAGGCTCAGGAACTTGAGGGAGGCCAGCTCGTCACTGTCCAGTTGCTCCCCGATATTGTAAAGGCATGTGCTGAAATCCATGCTTCTCAAGAGGTAGTGGAACAGTTCTGATCTAGGCCAAAACACAGTGCTGTGTTCAGGTGAGGAAGGTGAGTACCGTCCACTGGCTTGTCCTTTAGCAAATGGGCCTGGCTCTGCCATGTGCTGTGGACACAGGAAGGAGAGGAGCAGACAAAGCCGGGCGATCTCCTGCTCACAAAAGAGACATTCAGGGAGGCAGGCATGCAAAGACCACCGTCAGAGTCAGCACCAGGGACAGAGAGCCAGGGCGGTGGCTCAGCCAGGACAGGGCAGGGTCCTGGGCCAGGAGACAGTGCTCCAAGGAAAAACTTCTGCAGAAGATGCAGGCATGGTGATACATGCTTGTAATCCCAGCACTCAGGAGGCTGAGGCAGGAGGAGTTCGAGGAGAAGTTTGAGGCCAGCTTGAGCTACATAGTGAGACCCTGTCTCCGAAAACCAAAAAAATTAAAAAGATGGAGGTGAGAACTTTGTGGACAATTCAGACAGACACCAGGCATTCAGAGCACTAAGCACAAAGGGTCTGGGTTGGAGAGTGGGGACCAATCACAGGGCCTCATGGTGTGGGGCGGGGCTCCAGCTCTCTCCCAGAGGCGGTGGGGAACAGAGAGAGGATGTACAAGTGCAAACCATGCTGTGGCTTTGGGACTAACATTTAAAGTTGGAGGACAGCTCAGAAGAGCTGCAGGCAGGGAACCTCCAGGACTTACACGCGAGTGGCGTGCAGTGGTGGAGTCAGACTGGAGCCACGGTGCTGGGAGGCCCAGCCGTGCCTTCCACGAAGGCCTCAGGACCTCTGCTGGTCAGGAAGCCCAGGCGGAAAATGAACCAGAAACCCTGACGGCCCTCCCGGCCTCCTGGTCTCTAAGGCAGGACAGGGGTGCTTTATATGCACCCATGTTTAAATAGGAGAGAGTCATGTGGCAGGAACCCCGACTTCAAGCATCAGCCCTGATCCTGAGCCCTCAGGCTTCTCTTCCACCCTCCCGTGCTGCCCGCCGTGCCCACAGTGGATGGAGCTGAGTTTGTACGGCACCCTAGAGGACAGGAGGCTGGCTCCATGCCTGGGCAGCTCGTGACCCCAGACCCTCAGCTTCCCCTCTGTAAAGTGAGTCAGAAGAACACCCGTCTCTCAGTTGCTGTGGGTCCACAAAATGCCTGTTGTGCTGAATCTAGAATAACTTCCCCAGCTGCTGAGTGCCTGCTGAGGCCAGAGCATTGGCCCAGCACACCTCTCCCGCTCCCACCATCCCAGGGCCCTGCCTGTCCTCAAGAGGTGACCCAGGGACTGCGCCCATGGGAGGACTTTGAACCAGAAAACCTCCCAACTCCACCATTTCTGAAGGACCCAGCACCTGCCTCCTTGTTCAGACTTGCTTTCTGGGCAGGGGAAACTGGTCAGCACACATCGTCTTTGGCCCCCGGCTTAGTCCTAAACAATCTTAGCCTTGGGCCTGCTTCTAGTCTGCACCATGGTGGGTGGTGCCCACATCTTCAAGCCCCTGCGTTCTCAAACATTCAGGGATGAAAACACCAACCGTGACCCTATTGCTCAGGCCGTGACAAAGTGATCCAGGATCCACGTGCTTTCTACATCGGTGGTAAAAAAAATACCTTTCATTTGCACCTTAGAATAAGCGTTAATATTTTTAAGTGGCCCCAAACAGTTTGAAAATTTTATTTTTCCCTTTCAAAAATACCTTTTCTCGGCACCTGCCTCACAAGCGCAAGGATCCGAGTTCAATCCCCGGTACCAAAAAACCCCAAAGAACCAAAAAACAAAAAATGCCTTTTCTCCTTCTTGGTTACAGTAGCAGTTATTTTTGTGTAAAAATTGAAAACACCATGCCCTGGAAAACGGACACAGTTAACCATTATCACATACACAGCCAGTAACCCTAACTGATACCAAGCTGGAATACAGCTGCCTGTACACCTGTTGGGATTTTCCACTTAGTATTGATAATGAACATTTAACCCCACCAGGAAATATTGTTCCGTGGCACATCTTTAAGTTTCTTGATTTATACATGCAAATATCAAAGCTTATTGAAACCAATCTTCTATGATTTTACCATTAAAAATAATATTGCAGACAGGGATTTACCTCAGTGGTTCTGCCACCTGCCTCAGAAGTGCAAGGACCTGAGTTCAATCTCTGGTACCAAAAATAATAATAATAATAATAATAATAATAATAATAATATTAATAATACAGGGCCAAGGATTTAGCTCAGTGGCACCATGCCTGCCTCGAAAATAAATAAATACATAATAATAATAATAATTAATAATATTGCAGTGCACATAGCCCAAATTATTTTCTTAAAGTAAATTGCTAGGATTGGGATCATGAGGCAAAACTCTTTCACTCTGAGCTTACGTTATTGTTTAGACAAGCTTTCTTATTTAGGAAGCTGAGAGGAACAACGTTTTGGAGGCTACACATCTCCCTAGGTGCACAAAGTCTGCAGGACCTACACCCTCCTCGGCAGAAGCAATTGATTATTTGAAAACTGGCATTTGAAATACATGGCCAGCGCGTGTTCGAAGTACAACGACAAAGGCAGCCCACAAGGGAGCAGCTGGTCATCTGGCGCCTGAAGTGCTCGGTGCATCTGTGGAGCCTCAGAGTGAAGCGCGTGGCTCGGAACAGCCAGCTGCACCCGGAAAGGAGTGGCCAGATGCAGACCCCTGAGAGGAGAAACCGCTCCGTTTCTCACACAGAAGTGGGTGGACATCCAAGACCAACCAACGTTGAGAGAAACAGCTTACCTCGTAACAAAACTCACACACCCACCTTAAAAAAATTCAAAACGATACAAAGACTACCAGAGGCCACAGATACACATGCACATGCAGAAAATAAAAATTACAGAGGCACTGCCAGTCTCGATGTCGCCCTGGGGCATGGAAGAGACCCGGACTTGGGGTGAAGGAGCGGAGCCTGCCTTTCCTGTCCAGGTCGGAGGGAGAGCACCGAAGGTCCCGGCTAGCAGAGCAAAGTGCTGGCCAGGCGTGTAGTCACGTGGGGCGGACGTGGACTCCCGGCGGGCACGGGAGCCCCAGCCAGGTGAGGAGGCAGAGGGCAGGGGAGGCACCATCGCCTGTGTTCTCATTAAAGCCTATGTCCTTAAGAACTGAAAATTGTTCTTCCCAAAAATACCAGAAACTTTCACACCTCCCTCAAACACCCGAACCTCTAGTAGCCTGAACAGAAGGAAGGGCAACGGGACTGTGAGCGTCGCTGTCAACAGATCCGACCCAGCACAGGGGCTCTCGCCAGAGCACGCACAGGCTTCGCAAGCTCGCGTGAACTAACCACAGATCAACCGCAAAGAAAACCTGCACGGATTTCCCAAAGGCAGAAATTACACGACCCACGTTCTGCGCCTAGAAGGCAATGACTTTAGTCATTAACTGTGAAGAGCGGGCCCAAACAAGCAGGCTACAGAAACAGCTCGCCCTGAGGAGACTCCTCCACACAAGTGCTGGAACAACCGGCCAACTCTTCCAACAAACTCAAACCGCTCCTAACAGCATCTACATCAAGAGACTGCGGACGGAGCAAAGATCTGAACCTTTAAGAAGTACCAAGAAAAAACATAAGACAGTTTTTCAGGTACTCTAGCAGTGGTGAAAACTGTAAATACAACAAAGTCCGAAAGGCATTAAAATATTGACAATGTCCTTACACCTCAAGTAAGATTTTCTGCAAAAATATCCCAGACAGTTTTAAAAATAAATGAGATTTGTAGTGGGAAAAAACCAGCGATATATATGATTTTTAAAGGGGAAGGGGTTATTTTTCTTAAAATAAACTTCCCATAGTCAGTTAAAAAAAGAGTAGAGAAAGACTAGCAACCCAATGTATAAACAGGGGAGACCACAAGCAGACAGTTCAGAGAAAAGTATCTCTGGCTTTGTGTTTGCAGAACAATCATTTTAAACATTTGAAAAGACCCTTAATTTCATTTACAAGAAGAAAAAAAGAAAACTAGAATTATAACAAAGGACCATTATTAACTGCCAAATTGGTAAAGTACAAAAATTAAAATACAGTGTTGTGAGGTAGTGGACATAAAGACAGGTCGGCTGGTAGTTTGGCCATCTCTCTCCTCGAAATATAAGATGAACTTGGACTCCACATTCCAATTTCCAGGGGTTTTTCCTACATTCACTTAAAAGGAAGTATAATCAAAATATGTAGAAAAACATTCATGGCACACTGCTTGGAATGGAAAAAGAGCAGAAACACCTGTTTATCAGGACAAGGAGAGCTAATGAGCTGTCCATCGCATTTGCTGGAGCCCATCAGCTCTGAGAAAGGACTGGGAGGTGCCTGTGACTGGCGTGAGTGTGTCCTGTGCAATGAACTGACTGGAGTCGTCACGATATTTGTGGATCTCTGTATTCGTGACTCACAGGAAGCTGCCAAGGTGGGACCCAGGATGGCAGCACTGTGGGCCTGGCTAGATTTGAGGAGGTGGGGAAGTGAAAGTGGCCTGCTGCACATTCTCAACCTTTGCACACTTCTGTCTAGCTGCCATTTTGACCATGTGGCTGTATTACTTGTTCTAAATGCACATATACCTAAATTAAAATCTCTAAGATTAATTTTCATTTATATGCAGTACAGAGAAGGATCTAAACTAGTTCCAGTCCTGTTTGGTTGCATTAGGTCAACCACTCTTAAAATTTTAGATCAGTTTTAGCCTCTGTTAGTCTTGTTTCACAAAATAAAATCCACCAAAGAATTGAATGAAAGCAAAACCTCCTTTATTCCCTCCATGATTATTTCCTCATGGTAGCAAGTAACATATTCATTTTAGAACATAACAGAAATAATATAAAGGAAAGTAGATTTACGTATGATTCTATCATCCAAAGACAAACACCTAGTAATATTTTAATCTTTCCTATCAAATATTTTATGGGTATATATTTTCCCCTGTATTTGAACACATCATATTTCTGTAGTATAAGTGGATTTTCCACTAATATTGTAAGTACATCTTGATGCCTTTAGTTTTTCTCCTACAGCCTGGATTTTAATACCTAGAAATCATTCACTATATGAATAAACCATAATCTACATAGGAAGTTTCTTATCACACTTAGGATGATCCTAAAATGCAAATCTCTAAGTTTATCTCTGATTATTTTCTTAGAATAATTTCCCGGAAGTAACAGTACAACTTCGTTTCGGACAGAACACACCAGTTCCACATCAGGCCAGGACGCCTGCGCTTGAGCTGTTGGTGGCAGCTCAAGGTGTTACCTTGCAATAATGTGAGGTGCTTCTGAAGTGATTTCCCATGAAATCACAGCCACCCTTAGAAGGGAAGATATGAGTGTGGCTTCTTTTCTAGCCCAGAGAGGAAGCTGGTTCTTCAGGCCACGCCACAAGTGTGATAGTCTGTCTTTTGGTTTTCATTTTTTGTCTAGGTCACACATCTCTCAAGTCACAGCACCCAGGGAACAGTCACTTGCACGGGATTTCTGACACTGCGAAAAGCAGGCACACTGTAGGCCACCGGGCCAGCAGGGACGCCACCAAGTCCTCGTTTGATGGGACCTAGATTCAGTGCTCGAACTCATAGGGTACAAGTTTTGGTGGTGCACACCTGTAATCCCAGATATTCAGGCGGCTGGGGCAGGAGTATCACGAGCTTTAGGTCAGTCTGGGTCACTTGGAGAGACCTGCTCTCAAAATAGTTTTTAAAGGGCTGGGGATGTAGCTCAGGGGTAATGTGCTTACCCATGTGTGTGAGGCCCTAGGTTTAATTCCCTAGTACCCAAAAATAATAAATTTTTTGAAATAACATCTGTTGTTATATTTTATTGCTCCTAAAAATAGTAAAAGTAACATTTGTTCTACAAAGAAAGTGCAAAAAAGTATGAAAGGAAAAAGAAAAATCACTCCTAAATCTTGTTGTTCAGAAGTAATTCTCGGTCATATTTGGTGTTTTATCCCCAAATTTATTCACACCCACATAGAAAAATGAAAGCAGAAAACAAAGAATTAAATATTTTGACACATGATGCATACATATTCTATAACATCTAGGTAAATATATTTGCATTACATAATGTACATTTGATATTTTTATGCACCAAATATTTAGATACACATAAATGAAGGCTGATGCGCACGCCTGGTTATCCGCATAAACATAAGACAGTTCTTCCTCATTTTACTTACGAGCCTGGGGGAACTGCTGCAAGAACTGCCCGCAGGCCGTGACCGCGCTGCCTCCAGCCGGAGCTCAGCCCAGAGACTGCCCGGCGGGGTTTGGACTCAAGTCCGACGACAGTGGGACAGTGGGACAGGGCGAGAAAAATCGACGAAGAAGGAATCCCAGTGCGTTTACTGGTTAAAGTTACAGAAAAAGGAAACCCACCCGAACCAGGAGCTCTGAGCTCTGCAGCAGGGGCCGGGCCGGCGTGGGGCGGGGGCGGGGACGGGCTGGGTCTGGATCCCGCCCGGAGCCATCTAGACCTCCGGGCCGCAGCTGGCCCCGCAGCTGGCCCTCGCCTCGCCCTCCAGGCGGGAGCCCCGGGGCTTGAGCGTGGCCGCCCCATGGCTTCTCCCAGGGCCGTGAAGGGAGCCCCCAGCCCGGGCACCGCCGGTGCAGCGGCCGCGGAAGAGCGGCCCACAGGTCCCCCGAAGGACGCACAGCGGGGGGAACCCGGGCGCTGCACCCCACGAGTGGACCTCTGTGCTCTCCTTACACCATCCTCTGCACTGTTTCCTGTCTTCTAACCCTAAAGGAAATAACTAGACCGAGCTGTTAAGACTGTGCATGTGCTGGTGTGTGTACAGGGGAGCTGTAGCAGCCAATCTGTTGAGATTTACTGTTGCCCTCTACTCTGACCAGTAGGGCAGAGACAGGGAGAGGCCTTGGGCAGAGCTGAAAGGCTGCACAGCCCCTCCTAGTTGTGTGGGGGTGGCTCGTCCTGAGGGATGTGAACCTCACAACTCGGCTGGCAGCCTCCTCACCACACCCAGGCACAGGGCCGTCCAGGCCATGCGGCTTCCAGACCTCTGGGCTCCTGGAGCGTTCTAGAACCAGAGGCCCAGCAGACCTTACCAGAGACAAATCCCAGAGCCCTCACCCGCCGACTCCCTTCTTTCTCTTGGGGGGGGGGAGGGGGGGAGGAGGGGGAGGGGGAGGAAGAAGAAGAAGAAAAGGAAAAGCAGCACAAAAAACTGAGAGCCTCATATACTTCCTGCTTTCGAAACTCCTGAGTCTCACACAGGAAGAGGAGGGCTGGCCTCAAAAGGCTGGGGGAGCACTGGCTCCTTCCCGGCGCCAAAAAGACGTCGGGCAGGAGGAGTGAGGCCCAAGGGGCGCAGCTTGGCGCCGGGTGCAGGGCGGGGTCCTGGCCCCTGGCTCTGCCTACCTGACTTTGGATGAATCATTTTTCCTTGCAGGCCTCACTTCCTCCTCCAAGTGAGAATTCTGGACTGGACGACAACCAAGAATGCTTTCTTCTTGGGCCGGGGATTTAGCTCAGTGGTTCCCGCCGCTGCTGCACAAGCGCAAGGACGGGAGTTCGATCCCCAGTACCAAAAAAAAAAAAAAAGAAAAAAAGAATGCTTTCTTCTCATATTCCAGGGTTGCAAAGATCTGGGGTGTTAACCAGCACGGGGACTGAGTTTTCCTTCAGGGGCTGCTGCCTGAGCTCTCCAAGAGGTCCTCCTGCTGCCAGGGCGTCTGCCCCGGCACGGATCTCATCCTCACCCTTCACACCCACAGCACCGACGTCAAAGGCCTCCCCCGCCATCTGTCCTGGCCCTCGCCAGGTGGGCCGTGGAGCACAACTGAGAGCACACTCACACGCACGCGTGCACGTGCACGATGTTAACAGTAGGGAAAGGAAATCAAGCCCCCCTGGCTCTTTGAAGCTGCCTTTCCTGTTTCCCTGTACAGGATGTCAGCTTTCAGAGGCCAGGGCCCACCTCAGAGTGAGGGGCTGATGAGCTGTGAGAAGGCCCCTTACCCAGGAGGGCACGGCAGAGGCCACCGCACAGCACCAGGCCTTCGCTAGCACTTGCCTCCACCCGGAGTGTTGGACCAGCACCACAGAGCAGAATGAAATCCAGTTCGTGCTAAGCCCGCCTCAGGAAGTGTTTGCTGACTTCCTGCCGCCTCCACTCCACTTGGCCGTTTGCTTTGTGACAACTTCCTGTCCCAGGCCGTGAGCTTCCTGTGGGCAGTGATGCAGTTTTCACGGCTGCATCCACGGGCCCACCTGTGACAGGTAACGTCAGACTGCAAAGACTGCCTGCCAGTGTCTCGGAAAGGGGCTCTGCAGAGGGCTGGGCATGTCACAGAGTTCCCTGACTGGATTCTCAAATAGCATAGTCCACTCAAGCGTGTCTGTGCCCTGGAACTGCAAAATAAACTCGAGATACTCACTTTAGCCCTACTGGGTTCTCAAAGACTTTCAAGTTGGACCAGGCAGGCTCAGGAAGATCCATACGAGCCATGACCAGCAACCCTTGGGCTCCACGCACAGCCAAGACCTTCACTGTCTGTCCTGAGAAGGATTTGTCAGAGACGAAGCACCTGGGACCTGATGTGATCATTACACACACACATTCCTGGAATCCTCACACTGTACCTAGAATGACACCCAGTGACTACGTATCCATCAAAAGTAAATCTAAAAGAATAAACCATGCATCATGTACCATGATGTCCTGGTTTGAAACTAGGACCTGACCAGGTAAATCAAATTTAAAGAGTCGAGTGTTTATAATTTTTAAAAGTGAGAAACCTAATGAGCAACATATAATAAAACTGGAGTTACCAAGTGAGAATAATTGCTAACAACTATTATCCTGGTTACTCAGCAGGGCCAGTCGCTGTTGAGAGTAGTTTCCAGGATTATCTCCACGGTCCTCAGCAGGCCTGAGGAGGAATCATTAATCCCACCGAACAAGGGGAACAGAGGTGCAGAGAACCACTTCCCTGGGTCACAGGCTTCAAAATAGTGTAGGCACAACACTCAGAGCCGTTTACAGACACACAAGCCCCGGGGCAGCTGTCCTTGAGGAGGGTTCGGTGGGGCAGAGGGACAGAAGGGCAGAAGCCTGTTCGGGGCAGTGGGCGACACCGGGCTGAGGACTGCCGAGGAGACCTCACGGAATAATTAACTCAGCCCTTGCCCAGGGCCAAAAGAAAAAGGCACCAAACAAATGCGGGCAGACAAATGAAGCTTCCTGACTCCGGAGTCCGTCCCGGCCCAGAGCCAATCTGAGCCGGGACCTAGCGGATAAGAGACCCAGGGTGCAGCCTGACCGTGCGGCCAGGGCTGGTGGGGTTCAGAGAGGCCAAGGCAGAGTCCCCGCTGCTTCGGGCGACCGGGAAGGAGGGCGTCTGGGTGTCCCAAGGTCCCGGCAGAGGCTTCTGTCGGCGCCAGCCACTCACCTTCAGCAGCCTCTCCCGGCGCCCCGGCAGGAGCTGCTCCGCTGCCTCAGGTGATCAGGTGTCAGGCCGGTCGATCCGGGAGAAAATCTCCGACCAGGGAGGCTGGAGGCTGCAGAAGGCGCTGCCTTTCACTTTTCACCCCAGGCGGTCAGGGCTCTTCTGCGTCCCTCAGCGCCTCACTTCCTGGTTCTAGGCTCTCCACCCGAGGATCTCCTGGTGAGTCCCGCAGGGCTACTAGGGTCTCGGGAGGGAGCCTGGGAAAACATTTCCCACCACGGAGAAGAAAGAACCAGTCTTTCCTGGATCGGAGGGCAGAGCTGACTCACTCCAAGAAATCCCACGTTTAAAGGAACTCAGGCCTGCTTTCCAGCGGCTAGGAGGGGGCAGGTGAAGGATGATTCACCAGGATGCAAAAAGCAGTTAGTGTGGACTGTGTCCTGGCCCAGTTATCAGCTCTGAGGTCCCGGGCCAGCCCTTCTCCGAGATCACGCTCTGGCTCTTCCTCCAGGAAGAGCCTGCCCCTCAAATGTGGGAAAATTGCACCCCGAAAGGTAGCAAGGGGTCTTCCCCGCCCTGCGCAGAGTCTACACCCCCACCTTCCCCCGGAAAGCAGTAGCCACAACTGCTCAGGAAAGTGGCTACGGGTACAGCTCCACAGAGCCGAGCAACAGTGCTGGGCGAGCTGTGACCCGGGGACACCGCAGGCCTGGCCGAGCTCGATCCCCAGGCTCCGCGAGGCTGAGCCTAGACTGGCCCGGCGCGAACCCTTGACACCCCCCTCCCCTCCCCCCGCCAGCCTGTGTCCTGTTTGAATTTTTCAAAGCTTTTCTGCCCTACTGTTTTGCACCAGTGGGCAGCTGTGTGCTGTGTCCCTTCGTGCAGCACTTGTCATTCTCTGCACTGCAGGGTTTGTCCTCTCAGGTCACCAGCAGGCACAGGCTCAGATCATGGACTCTAGCTCCACCCAAGGCTGGATTTTCCCACTTTGGCCTCCCCAGCACTTAGGGTTTGGGATGAACCTGGTGGATGGAAGAGCAGAAATTTAAACTAAGACAGAGTGGTCTATGCACGAAGGCACTGGCCAGTGGTGGTCCAGACCCCTCATCAAGCCGCTGGTATGTGTCACACACAGTCGCTTGAGCTCATTAAGTAACTCATCTCAGGCTTTGGACCATTCCCAGGGTGGAGGCCACTTTTGCCCCACACTGAGGCTTGGAGAGGTTGGGGACTTGGTCAAGCGGGTTCTGCCTGCCCAGAATGAGGTGAGTGCATTTCTGAGATCCTGCATGATCCATCAATGCCTCAACCTTAACGCACAGCCGTGACTCTCCCCCTGACGGACCCCAATTAACACGCGGTCCCTGGGGTCCAGCTTTAGGCTTCCTGCAAGGGCAAAGCATGGGAGATGAGGCAGACTGAGCACTGCGGACAGTGCCCGGCCTTGGTTGTTTCGGTGTTTACTGCCATCCTTCTTTATGCTCACAATGTCTGTGAGAAGTCTGCAAATTCTCAGGCAATGCACAAATGAGAGCGCTCAGCTCAGCTGATGAGCAGCGGGGCAGTGCACAAGCCCAGGGGTGTTGGCAGTCACTACCCCACTCCCCACTTATATGACACCAACTGTTTTTTACTTTTTAAAATTTTATTCTTTTATTGGCACATTTTAGGTATACAATACGTTTACATTTATCACTGGGTGCTTGTACCTGTACATGATATATCTTGGTTCTTATTTTTTCTCCATTTCCTGTGTGCCTTTCACCCCCTCCACTCTTCCTTATTTACATAAATTTTATTTCCATTTCTTTTTTCGTTTCTCATAATTTTTCCTTTCCCTTCTTCCCTTTTCCCTTCCCCTCCTGCCACCCCTACCCCTTTGAACATTTGCCTATTTCAAATTATCAATTATTCATTTTCATCCTTATTTACACTTTCAGTTTCTCACACTAGAGAAACTATTCAGTATTTGCACATGTGTGTCCTATTTATTTCACTTAAGAGTATGGCCTCAA